GTGCAGAAACAAACGTGCAGAAACAAACATGTGCAGAAACAAACGTGCAGACAAACATGTGCAGAAACAAACATGTGCAGAAACAAACGTGCAGAAACAAACGTGCAGACAAACATGTGCAGAAACAAACGTGTAGAAACAAACACTCCAAATCTCATTGGAAGGTGGTTTGAGTGAATACATTTTAAATGTGTCAATCTTTTCGCAGTGAGATAGCTAATGACAAAATTAAACAATAAATGTTAGAAGGACGTCTTTGATGATCAGATCAGCAAGGGACTGAGATCAACACAGAGACTGGAACTGGACTGGAGTTGTCTAAAATCCCATTTCTATTTCTAATCAGGTGGGATCTACAGCGGTTCAGGTGACCTCAGCCGAGCGGACCCGTGTACTTGGACAGCCGGTCTTTCTGAATGATGTGTACTATGCCTCAGAGATTGAGGAGATTTGTCTGGTGGATGAAAGTCAATTCACCCTCACCATGGCCAACCAGGGCACTCCTCTCACCTTCATGCACCAGGAGTGTGATGCCATCGTCCAGTCAATAATTCATATTCGAACACGCTGGGAGTTATCTCAGCCTGACTCCATCCCACAGCACACTAAAATTCGTCCTAAAGATGTCCCAGGGACCCTCCTGAACATCGCTCTGCTTAATCTGGGCAGTTCTGACCCCAGCCTCAGGTTAGTAATGCACAGACGAACTCTACATGCTGTTTACCACAGTAGCTGACAAACTTTAATAAAAAGAGATAAAGCTGTTCAGTTAAAAACAGGCCTGATCCATGTGACCCAAGTAGCATTGCACAGAACAGCAGTGAGTTCCTTCACTGGAACCAAAAAACGTAAATCTAGAGACTCATATCTCCAGAAGAATATTGATGTTTGCAGAGTGGAGAAGTTCAAAATGGTTACTTTAATACAAGTGGTTTAGTTAACTTGTTCTCATCGAAGAGCTAGAACATTTCTAGTTATCTGGGCGCACCTCTACCCTGTTGTCCCTCCCACGTCCAGGTCTGCAGCTTACAACCTGCTGTGTGCTTTGACGTGCACTTTTAACCTAAAGATTGAGGGCCAGCTGCTGGAGACATCAGGTCTCTGCATCCCAGCCAACAACACCCTCTTCATCGTCTCCATCAGCAAAACTCTGGCAGCTAACGAGCCACACCTGACTTTGGAGTTCTTGGAGGAGTGCATATCAGGCTTCAGCAAATCCAGTACGTCTGACACATGCACATGCACACACACGCTCTATCTTTACAGGGACTTTGACTTCCATTCATTTTTCCTTCATTTCTATATTTTAACCCTGACCCTTACCCTAAACCTAACCATTACCAGTACATACCTAACCATTACCAGTACATACCTA